AGGTAACTTTTTTTACTAATTTATATATGTTGTAATTGAAATTTGTTTGTTATATATTTTGATGTGATATCAATAATATGTTAATCAACAATAATTTTGATGATATGAAAATGATCTGATAATTCTATTTTAATGGTTCTTTGTTATATAATTTTGTGCATAAGGAGATAAGAAATAAAGATATTTTATTGTTAATAGCCTCACTTATTGGACTATAATGTTCAAAATTTGTGATATTTTAGATAATATATTTAATGTTTATATTTTTGCAATGCTTATTAACAGATTAAAAGCAGAAGGTCAAATATAAGAATGTGATTAATCTCGTAATAATTAAGAAACCACCCGAACCTCAAAAGTCTCTAAACTGGCTTGAAACTTTTGATATACACTGTTTTAAGGATTATTATCAATTATTTTTGATTGGTCGAGAAGTACTCACCATTTTTTATCATAAATGGTCATCCCTGGTTAAAAAGGATAGTATCGGTCAATGTAGATATCAAAGCATTGGTTTATATCTGTTAATATTTAGGATGAATCAGAAGACCCCACCTTTTGAAAAATATTCGAAACTGAACACTTTTTATTTTGGGTCCCAAACTCTTATTATTTATACTCATAACAAAAATATTTAAAGTCTAATTATATCAATGTAGAATAACTGTCAAAATTTCAATATTTATAAGATCATAATGGGCAAAACCTAATCTGATATCAATGAAAGCTCATTTAAATTCAATAACAATTTGGCATGATAAAAATCTTAATATAAATAAGGATACTGAGATAACAACTAGAGGTGGGCGCGGGCCGTGAAATTACGCGTGACCCATCGTGTCACGGTGGGTCACAGCGTGAGTGTGAATAAATTTTAAACTCCAAGGCGTGACGGGCCTTCCCAAAATTTTCCCCGTGCGTGATCGGGCGTGAACATAAATTTCCCGTGAATCACGGAAATTTTAATTTTTAAAATTGTTTTTTTATAAATATAAATTTGCAATTTTATAAATATAAATTTGCAATTTTTGAATTATATTATATATTTTCTTATTTAATTTAGTTCTTTTTTAAAAAAGAATAATTTATGAAAACTAAAAATCTTCCGCATTTTATATACAACATCCGGTATCATTTTGTTAGTCCTATTTTCTTTTTATGTTTAGGTGTTTTTTATCGCGAGACCTTATGATAAATTTTGCTTAAACTTTTTACAGAAAAGTCAGTTATATTTTATTTGTAAAGATCTTAAATCTTTAAATGCAACAGAAAGTGAAGGATTTTAAAGCTAGGGGTGTTACATATGGATAACAAAATATAAAAGTTGTGAACCGGAAAACTCTTATGAATACTATAGGTCCAAAAATTTACCATGAAATAAAATTTAAGATTAAAAGCATGATCATTGTCCATAATCACTGATATTTGGACGGATGACTATAAAAATCTAAGTTTTTTAATCATTATAGGACATATTATCATTAAGGATTTTAATTAAAAACATTTGTTTTGGCCACAAGGGCAATGGATGAAAAAAGCGTCAAAATTAAAAGTATAGTCAATTCAATTTTAGGAGAATATACAGAAGTAGAAAATTACTTAAATAAATGTATAGTTGTGAGTGATAACGGAGCAAATCTTATAAATGCATTCAAAGATGACGAAACGCTAGCATGTATATGCCATATACTAAATAATATTATGCATTATATTTTTGACAATTGTTTAACTGAAATAGCCTTAAATATAAATGGTATAAAAAAATAGTACAATATTTCAAACAATCTACAGTTAATATCAAACTAAGCCACACCCTTAAACAAGATGTTATAGCGAGAATAACGAGATGGAACTCTGTATATATCATGATACAGAGTTTCTTAAAATCATATTCTAATATACAGGTGTACCTGTTTAGCAAGCAAAAATTAAATAGATTAGCCACAATTGATATCAGTATCATACGCGAGTTAGATAAATTTTTATCAATATTTAAAGAATGCTCATATAATCTGAGAGCACATTCTCGTCCCACAATAAATAAAGTTTTTCTATGGAAACAAAAATTAATAAAATTTTGTTAACCATCTAAACGTGATACAATAAAAATCAAAACCTTAAAATACAGAACAAGATTTCTTTTAAAAGATTATTATGCAGCCACTACATAAGGTAGACTTAATTCTAGATCCGAATTTCAAAAGACTTAAGTTTTTAATAAAAGAAGAAAATGATATATATAAAACAACCTTAAAAATGCTAAATGATATAAAATTAGATAATATGAACAAGTCAATGCCAACTATCATTTATAACTTTCCTAATTTATCCTAAACTCATAAAAAACCGTATGTTTCTAAATGGTCAATGCCAACTATTATTTATAACTTTCCTAATTCATCCTACACTCATAAAAGACCGTATATTCTAAAATTTAGAGAATTTCTAGATAATTCTGATGAGGCATCAACATCACCGATGAAAGCCCTGATGATGAACTTAAAAGATTCATATAAGATAAATAACGACAATATTTTGAAGTTTTGGAAGCAGGAATATTCATTTCCTTTTCTGAGAAAATTATCAAGTAAAATTTTGTCAGCTGCAAGTTCGGCTTCTAGTGAAAAGTTATTTTCTGTAGCCGATCTCTTATTAGAGGAAAGGCGTGCACAATTGAAATAAAAAAAGATGGGCATTCTTCTTTTTCTAAATAAATTTCGATTTATAGATTCTATTTATTTTTTATTATTAATATGGATTATGAAATTAGAGAAATAATAGAATGAATTCAAAAAGTGTAAAATTATAGCAATAGTTTTGAAAAACACCGTGAATTTTCGGGCGTGAATCAAAATATTGCTTGTCGTGAGCGGGCGGGTCGGGTCGAAAATTTTTTAATGGTAAGCGTGAATGGGCGTGAATTTTTTTTATAGCCACCGTGAGCGGGCGGGTCGTGAATGAAAAATAAGGCCCGCGCCCACCTCTATAACAACAATTTTGGTAAGCCAACAAATTAACCGTAATCGTTATTATCTTAAATCAAATTTGATTTGATGCTATTTCTTAGCATACAGAAGCTGCCTTTTCGTGGGACTGGTTTAACAAAAATTACGGACGCTGAAAAAGATGGAATTTATTCTTCTGGACTATTTATAGCTATGTTTTCATACACTATACAAAAAGATTCTGAATTAAATAAAATTAAGAGATTAATACCCAAAAATGTCCAATATACATCACCCCATATTCAAAACGAAGTAATATCTATTATGACAGATATGGTGCTTGAAATATCTCAGATAAATATAACAAAGTAAGTTTGTTTTTTTGTCATAAGGCTGAGGCAAAAGATAAATCAGGTTGTGAAAGTCTGAGCATAATTATTGGCTATATTTTTTCTGGAGATATCCAAGAAAATGTAATAGTAGTTATTAATTTAAGTGTCTTTCTGCTGAAAGCATTTTAAAGTAACTTAATGAGTCAAATATTAATTCAACGAATATAATAAGCTAGGCATGATGGTGCAAAGTCATGCCTGGCCGAAATGGAGGAGTGCAAATCCTACTTCAAAAAAAATTAAAAAAAGTTCCTTTTATACATTGCTAATTAGTATAATAACATTGTTATCATTTCTAATTATTTTAACTTACCCAATACATTGTACAATTTTTTTTGGCGTTTTAGAGAATCCTGTAAATATATAGGCCATACTCTTAAGAGATTTTTAAATCAGAGGCGGACTGGTCATTTAGAACATCTCCATCATTTATGAGAATTTTGAGGTATTGTTGAAGTATTATTTTACTTTTAATGGAACTCTTAGCTCAGTTTTTACTCATGATTCAGTCGAAGTCTCTGGTCTTTTATTTCAATGTGTTAATATAAATTACATTATATTAGCCATTATAATTTATGAGATAATAACAATAGACCCATTAGATAAGTATCTACAATCAGTAGGTACTAATCTAGTGGGTGCTAAAAATTGTATTGATTCCATGATCAATATAATAAAAAATAAAAGAAGCAATAATTCTTTTGATTTTATTAGAATTAAGGCTGAAAAACTTTTAACATTAATCTCACCCCCAAAGAATCATCAAGGGTATGTAAAACGCCTACAAATTTTCAGGATTTTTTAATCGAGACCAAATTACAATTTAATTATGAAAGAGACCCCAATTGGAGTTCTTTAAAAAAAAATTATTGATTACTTTGTTGATCATTTTTTAAATAGATTTATACAAGATGATTATAATCTTCTATCATGTTTTAATACATTGCCCCCTTTGACCCTGATTATTTTATATTAATAAAATAGCCCCATTTGAATAATTATTAAACCTAAATATGGAAACGTTACATCATGAAATGAAAATAGCAAAAGGATTATTAACCGCAGAAGTTATAGAAACACACAATTTTGAAAAAATTTTTATCTTGCATTTATAGAATTCTATAAATGTTACTCAGTAGCCATCATCATTGGGGTATCAACGGCTTCTTGTGACCTCATTCTCTACACTAAATATAGCTCTATCGAGTACTAATGTTGTTAAACGGCTTGTTTTGAGCCGATTTTTAAAAACGGCTAACTCTTCGATACTATATGTCTAGAGCTAGTGTTTGCAACGGTCTGGTCTTTTTTTCTAAAATGGGACCGGACCGATGGACCGTTAAGTCAAATGAGACAGGACCGTCGGTCTAGTCCGGCTCAGGCGGTCCGGTCCCACCTAAAAAAAATTTTTTTTATAAAGCTACAAAAGTTTTATTCTGCATTTAAATTTATTAAAAATGAATAGTTAAACTACCCTATTAATATTTCAATTATATCATCAATTCATTTTTATTATATTATACACAAATGCCTAATCAAAAGAATATTAAAATACAAATTTATTTAATATAAATTATATCAATATGAATATGATTTACATATTTAATTAATTTTTTTGATATATATATTTGGTTATAAAATAAATTGTATATAAATAATTTAATTATCTTCTAAAAAATCAAAAATGATTCCATTTTTTATCCATGATTCAAGTGCCATCATAGATTGAACCATCTTTGGATTCATTCTATTGCTTTTTTAGTTATTTTATCATTAGCTTTAGAAAATATCCTTTCACATGCTACTGATGTAGCCTGCTGGGGGAGATAGTCCATTGCTATTTTTGATAGAACTGGAAATCGATATTGATTCCCTTCCCACCAATCTAGTATATTAGAATTAATAGGACATAAAATATCAGATAAATAACATTGAATTTCAGTTATATCCTCTATCTGAGCTATCTCCTCTGATGACCCAGTTCCCATGAGCCTATCCCTGGCTATTCTCTCCCTCAGGGATATTTCCTTAAATAATAATTATCAATAAATAAATAAATAAATAAATATTTTTATATACTTTGTTTGTCCTTATGCCACTTGATAAAGTGCTCGCATATTTTTCATATACTTCCTTAAATTGGATAAAATTTTTAGAAGTATTTAATAGATTATACATGTGAACCTAAATAAAAAGAAATTTTGTAATATTATAAAGAATTATGAATAACCTTTTTGATTCTAGGGTCTAATAGACTACCAATATACGACTCCATGTTTAAAAATTTGTGAATGTAGTGATTAGCTTTCTGAGTGACTTTCGTTGCAAAAGTTGCATCAATAAATGAGGGCGAGGAATCAGAATTAAAAATATTTGCAATATGTATTTGTATATTTTCCATTAGCATAAGACATATGCCTAAATAAGAGAAAAACCATTTTAAAATATTAGATAAAAGATATTCAACCAATGGTAGGATAGGAGGATCCAGATAAATCCAAGGTGGTTTCATAAAATGGTTTTAATAAAGGAATTACTTCCTCTATTTTATTTTTATCATTATTTGTGAGGGCAATGCTGCCAAGGGTTTCATACTCTGAATAACACAAAGTTCTTATTGTCTCAAAATTCTAAATATATAATCCTATTAAAAAAAGAAAAAGATAGATAATTTACTGTAAGGACCTTCACCAACATCAAATATGTTGAATTCCAGCAAGTTTCAACATCAGTGGGAATTTTCTGTCCTATACCTCTAAGTAATGACATATATTTTTGAAGCAATGATGGACTTTGAGATATATTTGTAGTAATCAATCTCACTTTAATGATAACTTCATCAATGTTTTTTAGAATATTTTGGTAAATTATGTTTAATACGTGTGCCATACAGCCATATGCTGCAAATGGGTTTGGACTCATGTAAGTCTTCATGAGTCTCTGAGTTTTTACCATATTTGCAGCATTATCAGTTGTTAAACTGATAATTTTTTCCTTTAAATTATATTCAATAATTAAATCTGAAAGACATTTATATATTTTTTCAGCTTTGTGTGGATAAGGCACATAATTAATATCCAATATGATTTCTTTCATTTTCCATGATTTATCTATATAGTGCCCACTTACAGATATATGGAAGTTTTTGAACAGATGTCCATAAATCTGTAGTGATAACCAGTTTTCCTGGCAATTTTGCTATCATGGATATAACATGAATTTTTTTATTTAGATAATTGTTTAAAATATTCTTTTTAAAAGTATTATATGTGTGCACTTTAATATTAGGTTTATATATCCAATCATTTTCAAAAATTTAATATAATTTATAAGGGCATGTAGGGGGATAGTAGATGTTATAATAATTTCCGCAATGTATTTATTAATTTTTTTGTTTTGAGCAGTTGTAATTCTGCTATTATATATATGATCTGAAGAAAAATTTATTTCTTTCTGAACTAATAATTTTTCTTCTCCCTGTGATACATTTTTATATTTAAGAAACATATGTCGTCTCAAAGTAGCTAAAATAAGACAAAATTATTCATAACATATGTGAATCATAGTATATAGGGGTGGGACCAATACCAATATAATATTGGTTTACAATACCAATACCAATATAAACAAATATATAATTAAATATTGGCATAAATATATTGGTTTTGAATATATGGTTTAAATACAATTTTAACCAATACCAATATTAAAAATAGATGAATACATATAATTATTTGGTTTTAACGTGGTATATTTTTTTAATTTCATTAATAAACTTATTAATCCATTTCATTTAGAATATTATACTGAATGAAGACCAAGTAGAGTTAATAAATATAGATAATGCTGTTGATACTAATAATAATAGCGATAAAGAACAAGAAGAATCATCAATATCTAATAAAAGATGAAATACAGCTAAAATATGGGAATTTTATACTAGTTGTGAAAACAAAAAAGGGCTATTTGCAATAAATGTAAAAAAATATCTCTTCCCAATTTTAGAATCTCGGGGTTATGGACGCATCTTAAATCCATCCACCCAAGCCCAACATTATATAGGAAATGTGAACAAATAAATAGGCAGTAAAAAAATTAACACAATAAAATCATTTTTAGTTAATAATATAAATAATAAAGCTAATTTAAAACATTTAATTCTTTTTTATTCAAAATAACAGCCTTTTCAATGGTTGAGAATATCACTTTTAAAAATTTAATAGCATATTCTAACCCCTCGCTAAAATTACTTTCTAGAAAAAGATTAAAAATAGAAATTATGAAACATTAACATAGTTCTTTTATCAATTTAAAATCTGTACGTTCTAACATTACATCTAAATTTTCCTTAACAATGGACATTTGGTCCTCTCCAAATAAAATACCCTTTATGGGCATAATAACGATTCATTATATTGATAATAAATTTAAATTAAATAATCATTTATTAGATTTTATTCCTTTTAAATCAGCACATAATTCTATTAATATTTATAATTCTGTATTAAAAGTAAAATTTGGAATTGATTTTTTTTGTATTACATTAGACAATGCAAGTAATAATTTAGCATTTCTAAAAATCCTGTTTTTATGGTAATGCTTCATGAATTTTTTTTTCTATGTTTATTTAAAACTAGAAACTAAGGGTTTTATAATCACTATTTATTTCTATTCTTTTTTAGTTATTTGAATTTAAACCAATACAATATAAACCAATAGCAATACAAGAAATAGAAAATATTGTTTAAACCAATATCAATATTTTAGACCCAATACCAATACAATATTTTGTTTATATTGGGTTTTTAATATTGGTTCCCAGCTAATAGTATATATGCTTAATTTACTTGTGCTTGATGTATTTGAAAATGATTGTAAACAGATTTTACAAATCTTATGACCAGTCTCTTTTTAAGATAATAGTATAATTCTTTAACATCTTTTAAAGAATTTGATGGATTTTTTTGATTTTCATCAATAGTCATTCTTTCACCCCTTGAAGAGTGTGGCATTTCAATAGTACTAGTAGTATCAACTTCTATGATTTCAATATCCATTTCTAAAAATAAAATATAATACTACCTACCCTACTAAATTAAAATACTTGAAGGCGATTGAATTTAATTGAATGAAACGGAAGAATATAAAAAGTAAAAGATGAATTAGATATTATAAAGTGTTAGGCATTAAATAATCATATTTTATATGTTCATGTACATACAAGTAAACTTTTATATTCTTTGATCGGTCTTTGGTCGGACCAGACCGTGTTGTTGGATAGGACCATCCCATAGGACCAAAAAGTATGATAAGACTGGACCATCGGTCCGACCGTTGCAAACCATATCTAGAGCTTTGCTCCTTATATGAGCAAAATTTTCAGGTTTGCATAATATTTTTCTGGATAAAAAACTGAGTTAGCCATTTTTAAAATCGGCTCAAAACGAGCCGTTTAACAACACTATCGAGTACTAGAGAATTGATGAAAGATCAACGTAAATTTGGCATTAATGACTTATAAAAGAAGAATATGACAGAATATATCTTTTAATTCAGTTATGTTAAAATTAAAAAATTGTGTCGTATTATTTTGTATATTCATATTATAGTATTATTTTACATTCATATTACATTTACAAATTTTAATAAAAATAAGAAAAAATTTTAAAAAATAGTGCCACCTCCCCCCCCCCCGGCCCTGCAAATATTAAAAAATTAATAAAACAGTTAAATATTCAATAAAATTTAAGCCTTAGCAAATGAAAATCCAAAATTTTATTTGGAAATAGGCCCAAGTTGATCTAAATTTACTATTGAAAGCAATGATATTTCAACTAAAGCAGAGAATTTTTAATTATTGTGTTATCTTTTTAAAATTCCATAAAATAAAGCATTAATAGCCTGTAAGCATAGCTCACATCTTGATTTATTGTTTGGCATTTAAATAAATATAAATTTAATTTTAAATTTACCATGGAACTTTTTAACAAATTCTTCTTTCATTTTTTCTTTATCCTGAGTATATATGACACAATTTATATCATTCTCATTAACTCGACTAATAATCCAAATATCATGCTCAATCACACCTGTAAATGTTTCTAAATACTTATTGTCCAATGAATCAAGTTTTCTCCATCTAATTATTAGATATTAATTATATTTAATTATGCTATCATTATAGATATTTTGACTATTATTTTATGATAAGGCACAAATAACAATAAATATCTAAATAAATTCAATAGAGGCTTATAAATTTAATTTAACTTATTCTATGAAGTGTATATAATAATTTAATACCTAAATGACTGCCCATTAAACAAGCTAATACTAAGATTTAATATATGATCATTGAATTGTAAGGGAATATTATGTTTTATAAAATTATGCATTGAAATGTTGGAAGTACGATAGAACCATGAGTAACAGTTCATCAATATAGTGACAGCAACCTCTATTGATAACAAATTTAAATTTTGACTTAAATTTTGAGTAAGATAATTTATTAGATGTCTACAAAGTTTTTAAAATATAATCGCGAAGTATTTATATTTTAGGATTTACTTGACATAGATTTATTATTCTTTTTGATTTGAGTTTTAAATACTTTTTACGAATTTTTATCATACTCAGTATAGCAGGAGTTGGATTTAGTTATTTTCAATTTATTTTTACGATTTTTACATTTTATAACTTTTATTTTTAATTATAATCCTCACTTGATGTAATTTGGATTTTATGTTCTTAGAATTTTTATCTGTCATGAAATCTTTTATTTCAGAATTTATTTTAATGTCTATGATTGTTTGAAATGTATAGATTTGGTTGATGATCGGCAATATCATTGTATTATAATAAATCTATAATAAAAGAATTAATTTTTAGAGAAACTAATTTGTCCTATTTCATCTCGAAATTTAATAGATAACCTTTCAAAATATTTATCCTACCCCCATTAAAGGCATCTGCTCCCTACCCCCTAAAAATTGAATACAAACTATTCCTACCCCCCCCCCCCCCGCTCATGTAGACGCTATGCATGCACAATGCAATGTTTAGCAAATTGTCGAACATTATAAAACTGGGTAATTGAAATATCTAGATGTAGTGTTGCGTAATGGGCTAATTTTAGCCGACTAAAAAACTGCTTAGCCGAGATTTTAGGTGGAAAAATCGGCTAAGCCTAATTAGGTAAAGCCTAAAAATCGGCTAAACCTAATTAGGCTAAGCCTAAAAATCGGCTAAGCCTAAAAATTGGATAAGCCTAAAAATGGGCTAAGCCTAAAAATTGGCTAAAATAAATTAGTCAAAATTCTGCATCGATGCTTAGCATTAATTATTATTTATTTATTTTAGTAAAATAATTTATTTTATTTATATTTAATGTAAATATTTTATTATTATCAACAAATAAACATGATATGATTTAATATTTTTTATTTATATTATTATATTTTGAAATGAAAATAAATTTATTTATTTGATGTATTTTTAATAAAAAAAATAATATGCTGTTATATTGTAAAAATGTAATATTCTTTATAATATAACTTATTAGTGATTTTCACAATCTTCTTTGTAAATACATCTTTTATTGAGGAATTATATTGTAAATTTTATTAGATAAATAAACAATCTTTTAGGTGAAATCTTTTATCATTTTTTTAAAATTATCTATTTATTATTAAATGAGGTGGATTTTATGAAACTTTTTTGATGTTATTTTATATGATCTTTTTAAGGATAATATTTTAATGTGACAATTGTCATAATCGTTCTTTTATAAGTTTTTTGATTTTTTTTGAAGAAAGTATGTTAAAATAAGTATTAATAACATGTGTAAATACAAATTTAGTGAAGATGTACCAATGAAAAGTGACAATTGTCATAATCGTTATTTTTAAAGTTTTTTGAATTTTTTTGACTAAAATATGTTAAAATAAGTATTAATAACATGTGTAAATATAAATTTAGTGAAGATGTACCAATGAAAAGTGACAATTGTCATAATCGTTATTTTATAAGTTTTTTGAATTTTTTTGAAGAAAATATGTTAAAATAGTATTAATAAGATGTTTAAATAAAAATTTAGTGAAGATGTACCATAGAAAAGTGATAATTGTCATAATCTTATTTTTAAAATTTTTGAATTTTTTTGACGAAAATATGTTAAAATAAGTATTAATAACATGTGTAAATATTTTAGTGAAGATGTACCAATGAAAAGTGACAATTGTCATAATCGTTATTTTTAAAGTTTTTTGACGAAAATATGTTAAAATAAGTATTAATAACGTGTGTAAATATAAATTTAGTGAAGATGTACCATAGAAAAGTGACAATTGTCATAATCGTTAATTTTAAGGTTTTTTGAATTTTTTTGACCAAAATTTGTTAAAATAAGTATTAATAACATGTGTAAATATAAATTTAGTGAAGATGTACCAATGAAAAGTGACAATTGTCATAATCGTTATTTTATAAGTTTTTTGAATTTTTTTGAAGAAAATATGTTAAAATAGTATTAATAAGATGTTTAAATAAAAATTTAGTGAAGATGTACCATAGAAAAGTGATAATTGTCATAATCTTATTTTTAAAATTTTTGAATTTTTTTGACGAAAATATGTTAAAATAAGTATTAATAACATGTGTAAATATTTTAGTGAAGATGTACCAATGAAAAGTGACAATTGTCATAATCGTTATTTTTAAAGTTTTTTGACGAAAATATGTTAAAATAAGTATTAATAACGTGTGTAAATATAAATTTAGTGAAGATGTACCATAGAAAAGTGACAATTGTCATAATCGTTAATTTTAAGGTTTTTTGAATTTTTTTGACCAAAATTTGTTAAAATAAGTATTAATAACATGTGTAAATATAAATTTAGTGAAGATGTACCAATGAAAAGTGACATTTGCCATAATCGTTATTTTTAAAGTTTTTTGAATTTTTTTGAATAAAATATGTTAAAATAAATATTAAAAACATGTTTAAAAAAAAATTTAGTGAAGATGTACCATAGAAAAGTGACAATTGTCATAATCGTTATTTTTAAAGTTTTTTGAATTTATTTGACGAAAAAAGTTAACTTGCATCGATATTGATTTTAAAATAGAAAAAAAAGTTTACCCACATTTTAAGCAAGATTGTCGGGTGAAAATTGGTAAAAAAATAATAATTTCTAACTTAGGATTAGATATTATGATATAAATTTTGCATATTAATTCTTACCCGATGAACGGATGTAATAAAATGCCAATTTGCTCCTGTTTTTAGGGGAGAATCTATTATTACCATATGTTTTTCTATGGCATATATTGAGGCAATTTTAAGTTTACAATCAATATTTTTACCCATTTACATCAAAGAAATTTTAAAAATAACGATTATGACAATTGTCACTTTTCTATAGTACATCTTAACTAAATTTTTATTTAAACATGTTTTTAATACTTATTTTAACATATCTTCTTCAAAAAAATTCAAAAAACATATAAAATAACGATTATGACAATTGTCACTTTTCTATGGTACATCTTCACTAAATTTTTATTTAAACATGTTATTAATACTTATTTTAACATATTTTCTTCAAAAAAATTCAAAAAACTTTAAAAATAACGATTATGACAAATGTCACTTTTCATTGGTACATCTTCACTAAATTTATATTTACACATGTTATTAATACTTATTTTAACATATTTTCGTCAAAAAATTTAAAAATAACGATTATGACAATTGTCACTTTTCATTGTCTTCACTAAATTTATATTTAAACATCTTATTAATACTTATTTTAACATATTTTCGTCAAAAAAATTCAAAAAACTTTAAAAATAAAGATTATGACAATGTCAACTTTCTATGGTACATCTTCACTAAATTTTATTTTAACATATTTTCTTCAAAAAAATTCAAAAAACTTATAAAATAACGATTATGACAATTGTCACTTTTCCATGGATCATCTTCACTAAATTTTTATTTAAACATGTTTTTAATACTTATTTTAACATATTTTCTTCAAAAAAATTCAAAAAACTTATAAAATAACGATTATGACAATTGTCACTTTTCTATGGTACATCTTCACTAAATTTTTATTTAAACATCTTATTAATACTATTTTAACATATTTTCTTCTAAAAAATTCAAAAACTTTAAAATTAACGATTATGACAATTGTCACTTTTCTATGGTACATCTTCACTAAATTTTTATTTAAACATGTTTTTAATACTTATTTTCTTCAAAAAAATTCAAAAAACTTATAAAATAACGATTATGACAATTGTCAAATTTCTATGGTACATCTTCACTAAATTTTTATTTAAACATGCTATTAATATTTATTTTAACGTATTGTCGTCAAAAAAATTCAAAAACTTTAAAAATAACAATTATGACAATTGTCACTTTTCTATGGTACATCTTCACTAAATTTTTATTTAAACATGTTTTTAATACTTATTTTAACATATTTTCTTCAAAAAAATTCAAAAAACATATAAAATAACGATTATGACAATTGTCACTTTTCTATGGTACATCTTCACTTTATTTAAACATGTTTTTAATACTTATTTTAACATATTTTCTTCAAAAAAATTCAAAAAACTTATAAAATAACGATTATGACAATTGTCACTTTTCTATCGTACATCTTCACTAAATTTTTATTTAAACATCTTATTAATACTATTTTAACATATTTTCTTCAAAAAAATTCAAAAAACTTATAAAATAACGATTATGACAATTGTCAATTTTCTATGGCACATCTTCACTAAATTTTTATTTAAACATGTTATTAATACTTATTTTAACATATTGTCGTCAAAAAAATTCAAAAAACTTTAAAAATAACGATTATGACAATTGTCACTTTTCATTGGTACATCTTCACTAAATTTATATTTACACATGTTATTAATACTTATTTTAACCTATTTTCTTCAAAAAAATTCAAAAAACTTATAAAATAACGATTATGACAATTGTCAAATTAAAATATTATCCTTAAAAAGATCATATAAAATCATCAAAAAAGTTTCATAAAATCCACCTCATTTAATAAAAAATAGATAATTTTAAAAAAAATGATAAAAAAATTATAAAAGATTTCAACTAAAAGATTGTTTATTTATCTAATAAAATTTACAATATAATTCCTCAATAAAAGATGTATTTATAAAGAAGATTGTGAAAATCACTAATAAATTTTATTAAAAAGAATATTACATTTTTATAATATAGCAGCATATTATTTTTTTTATTAAAATAACATCAAATATATAAATTTATTTTCATTTCAAAATATAATAATATAAATAAAAAAAATATTAAATCATATCATGTTTTTTTGTTGTTAATAATAAAATATTTACATTAAAT